ATGACCACGCCACACAATACACAAATATACAAAAACAACTACTAAACAAAAAGTTTTATAAAGCAATATTTACTTTTATTGAAAGTAAGATATATTTATTGTGATCATTTTCATATATGTGCTAATGTTCTAAAATTTAAAAAGTACTGTATCTCTTTTGTAAAAGAATTAAAAATTCATGATCAAAAATGGGGGAACTATTCTTAAGGAAGTATTAGTATGTGAGAGCAAATAGTTCTATTTTCTAATTTTAAAATCACTGATTTGTAAATGTGAAATGTGAAGTGAATTTTATGTAATTCCTGAAAACTAATGAAAATCATGAAACATGTACAAATAATATACTTGGTCAAATATATTTTCCCTCTACATATCAGTAAAAATCAAAACTGGTCAAACTATTCCAAATTGTTATCATGCAAATTCACGACTTCTTTTTTGACTGATGCAATTCATTTCAATCATTTGTCTTCATTTTTGGCAGTCATGTCACACTTTGAATAGCTGGACTTTTAACATTGAAATAACACTTACTGATTCTGGGGTTAAATTACTTCATTGTACTGATAAAATGTTAGCTACACTTAACCTAACACTTCGTTTTTCTCAATAGTGCAGCTTGTGGAACACAGAATCTTAGTATCACAAGTATTTGGTAATACAGTCTCTTTTCTAAGCCTTCTAGTTCTAAATTTCTTCCTTTTGAAAATAAACTAATGAGTAATCGGGACGATGTATATAAAATTAGTATAGTGGCTGGAAAATAAGTGCTGGGATAATATTGTTGTTACTGCTTTTTTTTCAATTTTAGCTCAAATTTGATGATCTACATATCTCATTAAAACACCTTCAAAGCCGGGCATTGGTATATGCCTGTAAGTGCAGCACTCAGTGGCTGAGGCAGGAGGGTTGACATGATTTCCAGGTCACTCTGGGTTACAACCCTGCACTACATAGCAAGTTCAAGGAAAAACTGAACTGCCTAGTGAGACCCTGTCTCAAAAAAAGAAAGAAAGAAAGAAAGAAAGAAAGAAAGAAAGAAAGAAAGAAAGAAAGAAAGAAAGAAAGAAAGAAAGAAGGAAGGAAGAAAGAAAGAAAGAAACAAAGAAAGAAAGAAACAAAGAAACAAAGAAAGAAAGCCAAAAAGCCCACCTTCCAAGAATATACACATATATTCAATGTGTGAAACAGCATTATTACAATAGTACCTGTAACTCTTTCATCTACTAACTTTTCTCCTCCTTCCCGAGATGACTAGAAATGCACACTGTCTTAGCAACTGTCTTTTACAATTGTACTTTAATATATTACAGATAATCTCTGAAAAATTGAAAAACAGAACTAAAAAAGATTAACAGAGCACTAATGTATATATGTTATCTAATTGTAAAAAATCTGGGAACTATGTATTCCTCTCGCTCCAAGGTGGAGAACCATGTTTGGAAACATAGAAGGTAAAGAGAAAATAAATAAATAAAAATAAAAACAGCCAGATGTGGAGGCATGCACCTGTAGCCCGAGCGCTTTGGGAGGATGAGACAGGAGGACTGCAAGTTGGAGCCCATCTGGGGCAATTTAGCAAGACAGTGTGTCAAAAGTAAATAAGTAAATAGAAATGGTAGAGGTGGGTTACAGGGCAGGGTGAAGGCTGCGGGTTCAATCTCCTTTTCCAGTGGGGAAAATGAGAACAGAACTAAAATAAAATGGCACCTGAACATCTTCCCTTTTTCACAGCAACTGTGAGCAGCAGAGCGATAAGGTACTCACAATCTGAGAAGGTGCTCAAACAACAATCAGTTTTCCTTTCAAAAGTGTAACAATGGATTTACGAAAACAGGATTTAGATTGTTGGGTTTTTAGGGATGTACTCCACGGATTTTTACATGATTGGAGTAACTTTTTAATGCCTCCACCACTACCCTGAAATAAATTTCCTTAATTTTATCTGACTCACTTAGCAATATGTGTTCTTTGAAAACCAATCTCAATTATTTTGCTTGACTTATATTGACAACTCAAGATGCTAACACTGGTTGATATCTTCTCCCACACCTACTGTTTATTGTACCCTTTTTCTTTAAGAGATCCAGTAGACAACAAACACAGTCAAGTGGGAATGTGTCTGTTTGGCATTCCAAGTGGCAGGGGCAGCCATCTCCTACTCATGTGAGATCTGCTGAATCTTGCCCATGACTCCTTTCTCACTCTGGGTTTCCTCCTCTCACTTGTCAAGTTCTGCTAGGGAAGGAAACTGAGGCCCAGAGGACAGAATCATGCCTTCCATTAGAACCCACAAGCGGAAAACACCAGCGTCCGCTGTTGTGGAGATGCCATCTATCATTTCTCTAACTCTGAACATGTTAATGTGAAACAAATGTCACATTTAAATTTTATTTATTCTTTGGGTTGGCAGATTTTAGGACCATATGCTTTTGTTTTAATTTCTTTTTCACTGTAGCATATTAGGAGGAGCTCTTTTAATATGCAAAACTGACATCTCATCTTTTTTCTTTTCAAAATAAAATCATATTTCTGATGTCAGAATAGGTAATGATTAACAAAGTATTAGTTTATCATACATTTACTTTTCTTCCACTCTCCTGATTGATTTTGTTCTTAAAATACTATGCAAACTCCCCAGCTGCTGTGTATGAAGTGAGTAGATGTCTGCTCCTTTAGGACCATCTGTAGGTGGGGCTGGTTAGAGCTGGTCCTGTGTTCATTAGGAGCATTTTTTTCTTTTTTTTTTTTCTTTTCCTTTTTATTTATTTTTGAATTTTAATAGTACAGTTAAAGTTCATAAAGATTGCACTCTTTGTAGGAGGTGGTACACTCACATAACACATTTCAATTATTTTTCACCTTCCACCAATTCATTTTTATTTTTCCAACATGAGATTTTTAAAAATCATATATGTGAACTTAAAGAAGTCTAAGAAATGGTACACTGCTGAATAAACATTTTTGATAAATTCCAAATTTCTTTCAATGTGGTATATGCACACACACAGTACTAATTTATTATTTACTTAAACATTTATTTATGAAAATTTTTAAGCACATGCAAAAGTGGAGGGTGCGGTGTAATTGGCTTCAATATTTTATGTTTTACTAAAGCCTGTTGAATGCATTTCATTTTAGTAAAATGTAGTTTGTTTGTTTTTTAAAAATGGATTTATTAAACATTTGAAATGTATTTGGAAAGCAAATGCGTTTCAAAGAAATTTTAAATTATCTTAAAAGAATTTTATTCAAAAAAGAACATTGTAAGTTCCTTAAATGTATAATTAATTTTTATTTAAAATGAACATAAAATACTAGGAATATTTTCAAATTAACACAATGTATTTCTCAGTGGAAAGATTACATACATTTACATATTTGGAACCTGAAAAGAAATGAAATATTTCTAATGTATGGTAGAAATTTTGAAAATTTAAACTGTGAATTTTGGGGAATGCTTTCAAAACATTTTTCCAAATCTAAAGTCAAAATAAAATAATTACAACTTAGCATTGCCTGTTGAATTATGATTATTTATCAGGAAAAACTTATTTTAGAATCTCAGAGCATACAATAGAAATGAAGCATAAAAAGGAAGGTTTAATTATTTAATCTAATACTATTTCAATTGTTACTAACAGTTATTAATCACTATGATCACCAAGAAAAAATAGAATACAAAAAACCTATAAAAATACAGTACGGTAGAACACACTTCTCATTACAAAACAGGTTATTGTGATTCTCTGATATAATATATCATGATTCAGCTCTTTTATACTTACCACAGATTGATAGCAGGAACTATTGGGGACATGCATTTGGCAACTGGAAAATTAAAAATCCTTGAAACACTCAAATAGTTTTGCAAGAGATGAAAAACTTTATGTAGAAAGAAATTTTCTAAATTCAGTGTCATTTATAAAACAAACAAACAATCAAAAAACCCAATCTACCAATAATGAAAATTATTGCTTCTTATAATGAAGGAGTTTGATGAAGTCTTTCTTATGTTTTTTTTTAATGTTTTCTATATTCTTTTTCTAAAGAAGGAAAAAGAAATTGAACTTTTGATTGTTGGATTATATCTGGTAACCTGAGCAACTATTTTGGAGATAACAATGCTGCAATATAACAACTACTGTTAAATTCTTATCCTCTTGTTTTGAAATTCTATATTGTTATTGCTTTTTGTTGTTGTCATTTTTGTTGCAATTTTTATTGCTTCTTGATTTTTTGGGTTTTTTTATCTTTTAAATAAATAAATAAAGATTACAATGGAAAACCTGGTTTTCATCTGATTCCTGGAATAAGGCAAATTAAAGAATGTGCTTTGAGAAATACAGATGCAGTTTTCTTCCAATCTATGCTTGCACTTGGCTTCATGGGGAGGATCTGAAAGTGCTTTTTCCTGTTCTGTTCCTTCTCGCACATCTTCTCTCTTGCTTTGCCTCAAGGAGTGAGACCAGTTGTTTCTGCCATTAAGCCAGGTGGCTTTCTGTGACCCAGAGATGAAGGCTGCATTATGAAATGAAAAACTTGTAGCTCCTATAAATCTAAAATAAAAATTATTCAAAAAATAATGTGCACTGAATTTGTCACTGGAAAAACTTGGGCAAATACTCAAGTGCACGTTCCACTTCTCATACAAGTCTGTAGTTTCCTATGAGTCCTAGAAAAGCAAATTTTATGACAATTAAAGTTTAAATTAAGTCTAAATGTTTTACCTCTATCTTTATGTAAAAGTGCCTAATGAACGAATAATCTCAATATGCATTTTTATATACATATGGATATTTGTACAAAATGAATTGTTTCTATATCATGTAAAACAAAGGAAAGGCCCAAATAGCAAATGCAGATAAATAAAAGTATATTCTAGCACTTATTAAACTAACATTATCTTTGATAGATATGATTTTTAGATATAAGTGCATAAACATAAACATTAGCATTCCTATATTTGTGTTAGTTGTCAATTTTTTCCTTTTTTTCAGATAATGCTTAGAAGATTCTGCAGCAATTCTTGGTATTGGACATACTCAAAACCTCTTCAGCCTTTACCCTTCTGGCTCATTGCCTTCCAGCCTTAACCCATTTGTGACCCTTTCAAATATTTTACATGATTTGCAATGGTTACATGAACTTTTGGAAAGTGGTATTTGCACCATCTCATACGTCATTCATGATGGCGCTTTAGGAAAAGAAGTTGGGAAAGTCTTCCAAAGCATCACCTTAAAAAATGAATCTTATCGTGAAGCTTCGGAGAAGTTTCCGAACATTGATTGTTCTCTTAGCTACCTTCTGTCTGGTGAGCATTGTCATTTCTGCCTATTTCCTCTACTCTGGCTACAAACAGGAGATGACACTTATTGAAACCACTGCAGAAGCAGAATGTGCTGACATCAAAGTTCTACCTTACCGGTCAATGGAGCTGAAAACAGTTAAACCTCTTGATACATCTAAAACTGATCCTACCATCCTCCTCTTTGTGGAGAGCCAATATTCTCAACTTGGTCAAGATATCATAGCTATCTTGGAGTCTAGCAGATTCCAGTACCACATGGTCATTGCCCCCGGCAAGGGGGACATTCCTCCTCTTACAGATAATGGCAAAGGGAAGTACATTTTAGTTATTTATGAAAATATTCTGAAGTATGTTAGCATGGACTCGTGGAACCGAGAGCTTTTAGAAAAATACTGTGTGGAATACAGTGTTAGTATAATCGGTTTTCATAAAGCCAATGAGAACACCTTACCAAGTACTCAATTAAAAGGATTTCCACTAAACCTCTTCAATAATCTAGCTCTAAAAGACTGTTTTGTCAATCCTCAGTCTCCTTTACTGCATATTACCAAAGCCCCCAAGGTTGAGAAAGGGCCTCTTCCTGGGGCAGACTGGACTATTTTTGAATATAACCATTCAACCTACCAGCCTGTGCTTTTAACTGAACTACAGTCAGAAAAATCCCTCTCATTCTTGTCCAGTAAAATACTTTATGCAACAGTGATTCAGGACCTGGGGCTTCACGATGGAATTCAGCGAGTTCTCTTTGGCAACAACTTGAACTTCTGGCTGCACAAGCTCATCTTCGTAGACGCCATCTCCTTCTTGTCAAGGAAGAGACTGACACTGTCCTTGGACAGGTACATCCTCGTGGACATTGATGACATATTTGTGGGGAAGGAGGGAACGAGGATGAATGTCAGAGATGTGAAGGTAAGAACATTTATGAAAAAATACCAGATTGATTGTTTACTAGCTTTGTGGTAGTGATACAACATAATTTTACAGATTTTTACCTTCTTAGATCATTGAAATTTTAAGGTACATTAGGTCTGAAATAAAACAAGTATATTTTTAAAAAATTAAAAGCATTACATACACATGCACCCACACACCCCCACACACATACACACAGATATAGACACAGGTATGAACACACAGATTCACACATGAACTCAAACTTCAAAAGGGACTGAACTAAAATATCCCCAAAAGTAAATTAAACGTATTCTCCTCCCCTCTTGTTAAGCTCTTTCTCATCTTATCTACATAGAGCAGCCTCTGTATTTTAACATTTGCTGTAGTTTATAGCAAGCAACTAATAGTTACAGATCTCTGTTTTTTAACTGCTCAGGCTGGGTTTGTACCTGGTGGCTGAAATATAAAATATAGCCCAAGACCTTCAGACAAATGAAACATTTGTTCCTAGATGAACAAATATATGTTCACATTTGAGTGAACATGTATACTAACAGATACAGTTTCAGAGAAACTTGGCTTAAGACACTATCACTGCTATCTCATTAGTTTATTATATCATTTTGAAAAGCCCAACAGCGGCCCTGATTGCCCTTCTAGATGCATGACACCAATTGACTCCATAAAAGGTTCATCTTGTGACTGCTCTTTCAAAAAGAGAAAGCCAAATATGAAGCTGTTAAGGGTGAGATTACTAAACAGTACCTGCGATTTGGGAGACCATAGCAAAGGACACCTTGAAATCTCAAATTTGCGACCAACTTGGAACACCATAGAGACTGCCCTAAAACACATGCATAAACACATAAATATGTACACCTACGTCAAAAGCCAGCGTACACATATGAGATTAGAAAGTTTTGAGAATAATTTTCATTTTAAAAGTCAGTTCCCCATTCTCATATGACCTTCCACTTTGCTTGGCTTTTCCTGCATGCAATTAAAATCATTCTGTGCACAAAGAGTTTTAGTGAACTTAAAAAAAAAAAAATAATAGGACACAAATTGGGGAAAAAACAGTAAGATATTTTGTAATCTGGTTTTACCTTCTCATGTAAAGTATTTGTCTTCCAAAATAGTGAAACCTGGATGCTACTTCAAAGTAATAGTTCATTTGTCCCCATCCTAAAATTTTAAGACCATTGTAAGCCAACCTGATTAAAACTCATGGAATAAATTCTTTGCACAAAAATCTTCATAGTGCATGTGGACTAGAGAATGCTGTTCCTAATGAGCCAATAGATGCACTGTTTCACTGTGTCCCCTTTCAGGATTGCTACAAAGGGAGTGGATGAATGAAGTTAAATTCCATCTATATTATGAGTTTATTTTTAGCACATTTTGTATTTACCATTCCTTAAAATTAATATACACTAGTTTTATTTTGATTATAAATTCATAAATTTGAAAAGTCATATGCTACAAAAAGATTTTAAAGTGTTCGGTTTCCTGCCAAAAAATTTAAAAGACAGAATTTTCTGATTTTACTCTCAGAAACATCATGAATCAAAAGATTCTTTATAACTTCAATTGAAGTTATCCAGCTTAAATTTAACTTTGACACTTTTTCTTAGTAAGAAAACAAATAGCTATTCTTCAGTGCTGACAAAATATGCAGAGTTCATTGACAGCTTCTAATCTTGCACAGCATTAAACAAAATAATAGAGTAAAATTTTTAATAAAGGCTGCAGCAGTATCACATATGGAAACATAATTAAATAGGTAGGTATATTTATAGATAGATACCTTAGATAGATAGATAGATAGATAGATAGATAGATAGATAGATAGATAGATATGTAGATATACAGACAGGCAGACATACAGATATATAGATGTATAGACATATAGTTATAAACTATAAGTAACTAAAGCATTATGTGTTTATGTTCTTGAACACATGCATACAGTTTATATGCCAGTCATGGTGAACCTATAGCATGCTTGCTGCAATGGGCTGTCTATATCGCTGAATTCTCTAAATGGTTCACCATCACTATTATATACGATACTAGATACTATACAATATTTATTAGTGTACTTAAAGATAAATTAATAGAACTGTCACTTTGAAGCAAGTATTCCTTACAATCATTTTGGTTGTTTCTAAATCTCTCATAGAGTTGACTTCATATTTTTTTGTTTTTCAATTCACAAATAAAAAATCACACAAACGTCATAAAAATCATGATCGTTTGAAACTTATACATTATAGAATGATTAAATTTAACTAATTAAAGTATGCAATACTTCTAATTTATCTTTTCCAATTTTTAGGGTAAGAACACCTTAAATTCACTCTATTAGTAATTTTCAAAAATGCTGTGCATTTCTATGAACTATATTCACCATGTAAAACAATGGATATCTTGGACTCATTTTTCCTACCTAAATGAGATTTTATAGTTTTTGATGGACATTTCCCCAGTCCTAGACTATCTATCTATGGCTTACTTCAGGGATTCTATTCTCTGTTCTTATGAATTAAAATTTTGGGGATGCTTCATAAAGATGAGATGGTATAGTCTTTCTGTGCCTGGTTTATTTCACTTAAAATAATATATGCTAGATTTATCCATGCTTTTGAAAATGACAAAATTTTCTCATTTTTAGGGATAAGTGGAATTCATCTGTATGTGTGTGTGCTTGTGTGTGTGTGTGTGTGTGTGTGTGTGTGTGTGTGTGCGTGCTTGTGTGTGTAGTGTACTGTTTTCTTCACTCATTAATCCATTGATGGGCACTTATCTTGATACCATTTCTTAGCTATTGTGAATATTGTGAACAAGATCATAAGTGAGTCCATTCAACATATTTATTTCATTTCACAGATACAAATTTCATAATTAATATATATTAATATATATTTTAAAATGAAGGATTTGTGGATCTTCAGTAATTCTATTTTTTTAGCTTTTGAAATACTTTCACATTATTTTCATAATGACTGTTTAATTTACATTCTTACCAACAACATGCAAGGGCTCCCTTTTCTCCACATCTTCCTTTCATTTAAAAAAAAAACTAGTCGTTCTAACAAATGTAAGGTGATAAGGATCTCATTTTACAGTTTTTACATGATTTTTGTTTGTTTGTTTTGTTGTTTTTTGACGGTTTTGTTTGTTTGTTTTGATATCGGGTATCGAACTCAATACCACATACTTGCCAGAAAGGCAAGCTTTTATTTTCATCTTTTAACCTTTATACTAATGGTATAAGCAATTTGCATTACACACAGAGAATCAGATGGCGCTGAATTTGCCAGTGTACTTGCTTTCACCAATAAGTTTTACACTTTCACATGTTTTCATATTTATAATTAACAATCTTTTCGTTCAGCTAAAAGGACTCCCTTTAGTACTTCATCCAATATAGATTTGAAAAAAAATTTAAGATGTTGGGCTGATGGTGTCGAAATCTCTAGACTTTTACTTACCTGAGAAATTCATCATCTTTCTTTAAATTTGGAGACCAGCTTTGCAGAGTTTTGCATTTTTGGTTAGCAAGGATTCTTTGTTTCTTTCAGTACTTAACTAGCATTCTTTTGCTCGGCTCTGATCTCTATGTTGCTGCCAGAAATTCCACTGGTAGACTTCTTAGAGCATATTTATGTGTAATATGTTCTGTGAGTGACTTCAGGACTATCATTTTTTCTTCAAGTATTTGACATTTTATTGTGATATGCCTTGTTATTGGCTTTTTAGGATTGAATCCTGTTGGATGTCATCAATCTTCTTTTATGAGGATACTTATGTATTTTCTGAATTTCCAAAGTTTTTTCCATTGTATCTATAAATAATTTTCATACCCTTTTTCTCTGCCCTTGTTGTCCTATAAGAAAATCTTTGACTCATAGTACTTTGATTTAAGAGATGTTTATTATATGGTGGTCCAAGAGTATAACCGTAAAATCCTTGCTTTAACTTTAAATGCAATATTCAATAAATTATATGAGAGTTCAGCATTTTATTACAAAAGAGGCTTTGTATTAAGTGACTTTAGGTGTGATCTAATGTAAATATTTTGGGCATCTTTAAATTAGGTTGCCTTAGTTACATTGTTTGGTGGGTTAGATACATTGAATGAATTTTGTCCTATAATGTTTCCATCCTACAAAAGATTATTGGAACATAATCCCACTGTAACTGTAACTGTAACTGTAATCTGAAGAACATCCATAAGTCTAATATTTTTTTTCAGAAGTATCAACTAATTTGATTGAAGCAGTAAGCTATTTACCTTTTTGGTTACTTATAAGTCAATAGAAAATACTGTTTTGCAAGAATAAAAATTCTAGCTATTATCTTTTGAATTGAAATTTTTGCTTTATTTTTGGATCAATATTATTTTATTAGGAAGAATTCTAATTTGTAGAAAAGGTCTTGATAGTCTCATGTTCTTTGTCCTTGTATTCAAGTTCTCGTAGTGCAACATAAGGTCAAACACTAATAGGTGAGGAGAGATAAAGGATAGAGAAATTCCTTTTTTTGGAACAAGTTGAGTAAAACAGAAGAGTTGTAGATTATGGTTATAATATGTTTGAACTCTTCCTGCAAAATTCTGACAGTTAGGCTAAAATAATTGGGTGCTTTTCACAAAGTTATGCATAGCCTGCCAAACTCTTACACGCACACCTTACATACATTAATATATTGTCTGAGTGAAATTTTCTATTTTCAAATTGCAATGCTAAATCATATTACTAAAGAATATAAATTTTAAAGATGCACAATTTCGGTGCTATGAATGGAACTTAAATTTGTAACTGAATTTGAAAGTCCATTCTTCCTGTGATGTGGTTCTGCCTAAACAAACTAGACATTATCCATCCACTTTTTTCATAGATGGTCTTTGCAAAAGTGCTATCAATTGTGCAAAGTTAGGTAAGGGTAATATAGTAACTGATTATCTTGGTTGTAAAATGTCTTTTTGCACTAGTTTGTCCCATCACTGATGG